TTGGACGCACCCCCGGCATTCAGAATGACAGAGAGACAGCCAAAACAGAGATGCGTCTCGGGCGGTCCAGCTCCCCCTCAATGCAACCGGTGCTAGGCGTGCAGGCAACAAGGTACAAGAAGAGCTGCCCTCAAGAGTCGTTTCTAATCATCCCTGCTCCCTGTGACATGGTACCGCAACTCCTATGACAGCGCAGGCCAGGATGCGGCCGTTGCCCAGAAGCAAGTCTCAACCTTTGGATTCCTGCCCGAGCCTCGGCCCTCAGAAGCGCCCCGGGGCACCGTGCTTGAAGCGCAAGAACGACGCAAGGAGAGCGCCTTACCGCACCGGCTCCAGCCGTGCAGGCCTTCAGATTCACCATCATGGCCGGCTGCGTGCTGACAATGGTATCCTCGATCAGATCCTTTATGGTGGACAGATCCACTCTCCCTTCATTCTTCTCTCCACAAATCAAGAAGAAATGCAGGAAGGTCATAATGACATACATTTTCTCCTACACAGCTCCAACTGCCCCTCGCACCTCTAGAACGCTACAGAGTCTTTCACCCGGGAAGAACCTCCCAGGTACTCTTCCCATATCCTGCACTCGCTCTCCCCAGTGTGTAAAGATTCCACTTAACAGCTGCGAGCAAATCTAAGTTGTCTAAATTAGACAAACTAAACCTCTGCATCTGTAGTCTACCCATTGCAAATTTTCATTATACGTCTTTTACAATTCGCCACGTCCTCACCACCTCGTGAAATGGTACTGCCACGCTTTCGGGAGAGCAGCCAAATTCCTACATCTACTCAGGATAAAGCAACGAAGGCGTCAATAAAATAAATATATCAACTGACCTATTCAGATCACAGAAGCATAAGCACACCTGCATTGAGCTTGTTAAACCTCCGATACCCACAGGTTCCCTGCACTAAAGTCTCAAAAACAAAAACCAAACCCAAACAAAGTTGGGGGGGGGAACAACACCCACTACCCCCACATGCAAACAAAAAAAACCACCCTGAACCAACCCAGCCCTACATCTGACAACAGCAGGAGGACCTAGATAGACAGAAAGCCTTTTGGGCTACACAGGCTCCCATTCAGCTGTTAGACCAAACTCATCAGGACAACAGACTTCAGTACTGCTTCGGCCTTCTTGAGGATGCGCCGTTTTGACGGAGCTGAGCTAGTATCGATTTCGGGGCAAAAGAATCCCCGCCCTTGCCCTAAAGGGCCACGACAGCGAGCCGCCAACGTCTCGCCTCTGCAGCAGCCTTCCTCCCGGCTCAGCACTGTTCCCGCTCCTTCCGCCCTTCCTGCGCTCAAGTCTGGCCTCCTGCTGTTTGCCTCTTACCTCACGGAGCTGAAGTCTCGGAAGAACCGAAAGGTTCAAGTCTGGTCTGTCCTTGAACGTCCACGACACCAGCAGACCTTCGTTCTGTATCTCCTCCAAGCGGATCTCCACCTGGCCGAGAACAAATACCCATAGTCAGGAACAGTTTCTGTTTCCGTCGGCGCTTTTTGCCCCACTTCAAATTCTGCGACCGAAAGGCCCTCGCACCAGCAGGACAAGAGGAGACAGAATTGTAAGAACGCAAGCGGTGCCGGGCCTACGAGAAGAAGCGGCCATGGAAGCCTCATCGCTGCGTAGAGAGATCTGGCTTCCTCGCAGCCTGCGGATGCCCAGGCATGGCCAGAGGGAAAAATGACAGTCGTTTCTTTGGCTGAAGACACGGCCCACGGGACCATCTGAAAGAGTGAGTTGGGCACCAACACGGCATATTTACCGAGCTATGTCAATTAACCGTCGCCAAACCTAAGCACAGCCATTCCCAAGTTAGCGACGTGTCTCTAGGAAATCGTCCTCAGAGAGAAAACTCGCCTGGGTCGCCCATAATCTGAGAGAGCAAACCGGACCGTACACCGTGCCGTAGTTCGGTTGAAACGTTGCACACCTGTACACCCAAAAGGCATCGTTAACGCAACAAAGAGAACTGCGCAGGGAGAACTCCTGACCCGGTATGTCTAGTAAAAGCAGGAGAATGAAACGTAACATCCTTCTAAAGTAACTGACAGACTGATATTTATTTACAGCGAACACAGAAAGTCGTCGGTCAAAAGCGACAGATCCAGGACACAGTAGCCAGGTAAGCGACCGACAAAAGGCTCATAAAAGAGGCGAGGCACATTTGGGAACACGGTAGCGGAATTGTTCTGACTGACAGGCATACAGTAACTTCACCAGCATTTCGCAAACGCAGCTGCAGCAAGTCTTCCGTTAGAAGGCCACGTGCAATCCTCTATGAGCATGACCGACCCAAAACTTCAACAGGCGCAGACAAGGAGACCTAAAAAACGCCAGCGAGTAGAAAAGTGATTCAATGAGACACAACAGAGGCCACCTGGCTCACGGGGAGTATGCGAAGACAAAAAGCGACCGCAGTTGCTGCCCGCGACTAGGTCGGCAGCAGGCATGCTGAACGCCGAGGGGAGAAAGAGAGAGAGGAGCTATTCCAACGACCATGGACCCGAACCAAACCAGGATGACCTGTTAAACCTAGGTCGAAAATTTTAGTGAAGCTTCCAAGAGCAAAGGGGCTCTAGATCGACCTTCCAACTGCAATACCCGCAACAGCACGGGATTGGCTTCCGCTACCACAGAGTCACTTCTAATTTCACCACGTCTCCTTGTAGCGCAAATGAGTGCGCGGTCTCTGAGCGAAATACCGTCTCCAGGGACGAGCCTTTCTTCACGACGGGAACAAAATCATGTTCCAGAGAAGCAAATCCAGCCAGAAAACAACTACGTAGTTACCGCCCATTGCGATTGCACAGAGCTTCTGTTCTGCAAGAAGCACGTCCAATATTCAACACGCAGAAAAAAATCTTTATCACGCCTTTGTGAATGTACTAAGGGGAGCGCCGACAAGCAAACCGTTCCTCACCATGGACTTCTTTTTCATACCAACAACCGGGGTGCCGCGGTAACCGTACGTACACACAGGACTCATCTTTCCCCATCCATCACACTGCGAGGGGAACTGAACTCTGTGGACCTTCCGCTTTCTTAAACACCCACTTAAAAAGACAGCGTACAACGCTGCCGTGCCTCAGATCTCTCCGGATTTTGTTATGGCTATGTGGCGTAGCCGAGATTCGCGGAATGAAGACTCGGAAAACAGGACTCGGCACACGGATCGGGAATATTTGCCGCCCTGCCGAACATTAAGTGACGGCACACCGCCTCTTCTGGCGCAACGAGGCCTTTATTTGCACTAAATCAGGTCCTCCTTCCTTGATCGGCGTGGGGCTAAGTTAAAGCACAAGTTCAACACCTAACTTTTTACACCCATTACCTGAGCCTGCAGCACAGCCAAAGTGACACGATAGGTGTCCACAGAAACCGCAACTGGGGACTGCTGCGTAACAGAGACGGGGAATTTCACAGCTTCAGCTGACAGCTGGCAGTATAGCACCTGGAGAGAAAATGAAGGAGATTTTACATCCTTGGCGAGAGGCGGCCGTGCGACAGCAAAACATCGAAGAGCAATCGGCGAGGTTGGCCCATCGTGGCAGGAAGGAAACGTCAGGCTTACTCCCAGACCCAGTTCCACACTGCAAACCCGCTGTCTCAGACTCCGTACGTGAGGTGGTAAAGACCTATCGGCGACAGGAGCCCGCTTCCCCTCTCTGCTGTAGGACGCCAATATTCAGGCTCAGTATCTGTACGCCCCAGCTCCACCACACATCTCCGAGAAGAAGCAACGGCAGAGAAACCCCACACCGTACGATTAGGAATGGCAAAGCCTTACCATGCTGCGGTCTGACTGTCCCTCGCACGTCACACGACTTATATTTGCGGCCGGCGGTAACTGAGGACCCTCTTCAAAGGTGATCTGCACCGAACTCTATGAAAAGAGAACTCCGTTAGCTCCCAGCAGTCGGGGTATCCGGGGTACTTTCAAAGAGGACAAACGACTCTGACGTGAGGTCCCGGAGAGGCTCCGGTCCGCTTCCGTGAATCCAGCCGGCACGCGGAACTGCCGCACACCGCAATTCTACCCGCCTCGGCTTGTCCATACAGGGAAAGGAAACACTGTCTCCAGTCAAGGCTTAGACTCGCAAACGCTATGTTAATTTCAAACAGGCGAGCCCAAATGAGAACAGAAATTTGTTCTGGGTAGCGCTGAACTCTACGTCAAGTGCGTTAACCCTTCTTCACTGCAGAAGCTTGGCTGTTTCTTCTCTCTCCCTCTGTCCCCTCCGTGCTAATGCTGCCCCGCAAGTAAAGTTTTTGAAAAAAAAAACAGTAACGCCAAACAAAAAACAAATCAACAACAACAACAAAATCCCCCCTCGGGATATCACGCATCAGCTCCTGTGCTCCACTTGTTCCCTTTTTCCACTCTCTCCCAGTTTATTTAATAACGGTCTCTGCTGTGGAAGCTTCCCTCTTCTTCGTCTGAGGATCTCCCCATATAACAGGACCCATTCTCTCACGAAAAACAAGACCCAGACAAAGAGTTGAGAGCATCCCTGCACAAAACCTATCCCTCAAAGATTCCCTCTGCTCACAAGGGGCAAAAAGAGAGAGCGAGCAGGCAATCTGAGCACAAGGACACAACCGTTTGCCAAGCTGCTCGTGTTTTAAGGCCAGTGTGACCAACAGGGAGGATAAAGGTGCGGGAAACTGCACTCTTTCTCGAGCGAACAAGACCATGCAGTGCCACCTCTGTGCAACAGACAGACCCGGGCAACGGGCGGAAGCAGAGCGGAAGGGGCTCTCAGACGCTGATCTGACCGGCATACGTAGCGCAACCCAAAGAGGCGCTCGCCCATCAAAAACTAGTCTGAACGCATACCCTCCTCTGAACACCGACACGAGGCAGCTCTCCCAGCAACCCAACTTCAAAACGGAAAAACGCGACAGAGAAACAATGTCAGGTTGCTCCCTGCTGCATCACACTAGTAACGCCTGCCGTTTCTTCTTCTTGCAAGCCTCCTCCGCCAGAGCCGTGCGTTCACCTACCCGGGTCAGTCCAGAACATCACAGACCAGCCCTTTCTCTCCGTGATCCCTGCCCAATGACTCAAGTGTATAATCGGCAGCGGCAAGCCGTCACCCTGTTCTTCCTGACACGTCACAGTCTCGCCGAACTGGGAGGCGCTGGCCAACCTCAGAAGATCTCGTTGCTCAGCCCGCTCCAAACGACCCGCACGCGCAAGGCGGCGTGAATCTCTACATACCCCAAGGCAGGGAGGAAACATAAAACAAGGCAGGTAGCATGCACTCAAGAGGCGACTCGATTCCTTGAAAGTCTCTGGCAAGGAATTGTCTTCTAAGGCAAGTCACTTGAAATACAAACAGGAAATACGAAGTGCCAGCCGCTAACATTTACAGATCTATGTAAAAAAGCGACACCTTGCAACTGAAGCTGCTCTCTCGAGTACCAGGGAGGAAAACGAGACAGGGCCAGGAGGTGGACCAACCCTCACCTGCCCACTGCCAGATCCCTCAGATCATGCTCCCAGCAGAATCCGCCCAAACTCAGACGCTGGCGTGCTCCGACCACGAACGCGCTTCTATAAAGCTCCTACCATGCACATTATGTTCTCACATTAGCCGCGACTCTGAAACGCAAGGCAACGTTGGCGAATCTAAACCTGAACAACATTAGGACGTATTATTTTAAAATACACCCAGCTGAAAGAAGCCATGCAGAAATGGCAAAACCACAGAAGGAAACAGACTATCGAGAGGGAAGCGACCGAGCAGCGTTTCTCCAGGACAAGGACTCCTGAACACTAGCCTCCCTCTATTATCCTTTCGTGGCAAACCACGAGACTTCTACCCCAGTTTCGGCATTTTCCTTACTCTTTCTTGGGACTACTCACAAGGGAAAATGAGACGGCACACCCCGAGAACGGTAAAGATAGCTCTTGAACAGGCCATCAAGACGGGACTCTACGATTCTTCCCCAGCCAGACGAACAAGCCCATGGAAGCGGGCTTATAAATCTGAGGGCCGAGACCCTGCACCCTTCTGCGTCCACACCGAGAGCCCAGTGTACTCTCGACCGTCCGCTCCTCCACAATAATTCCTCTATTAAACCCAGCTTTGCAGACTGGCATTTCCTTATGGCTTTTTGTCAGTCAATACAGCTAAAAAGAGAACAAAAAAAAAAGCTACAGCAAAAGGAGTCAAGAATAACTCTACCCAAGACACTCGCTTCTAAGCGTAAATCTATCCCCAACTCCTCTTGGGACTTAAAAGGAGGTCAGGGGTGGAGTCAGACTAGGAGCGGGGAAGGGGCCGCTATCGATGGCGACGAGAGCGATCAGGCCTTACGTCCCTTCCCTCGACCAGATGTGAGAATAATTTCCCGCAATACATGGATGGCGGGAAAGGGGCCGCAGGGGAACACTTCACATGATGAGGCTCATGCACATTCGGTGTCAGAACTGCCGACAGAACTCCGTTCTAAACCGAGGTCTACCCAAAAACTACGACATGCTGTGAAAAAGGAGATGCAGCTTCTCCTTTGAGATCTCAGCAGATGGCTGGACTATCCTTTAAGCGACTTCGTTGCAAAAACAAAACAAAAAACCTAGCACATGCCCAGCCGAGAAGAGTCTCCCATTCCGCAGTCTTCGGAAGGCGTGCGTGGACTACACAGAGAAGACAGTAGTCAATGCGAGGCCGACTTCACTTAAATAGCACCAAACTTTTAAAAGACCGGAGGAGTACCGTCTTAAAAAAAAAAAAAAAAAAACCACATAACAAAAAAACCCCCACCACACTTTCAATTACAGTTAGCACTTTCATAGTATAAAGTCCCTACTCGCTTCTCCTTCAGCAGCCCCCTAGATCGCCCAAAAATGTAATGCCTCCGCGCACGCCACAAAAAGTTACTGGGCCTCACAACACATTAGCAAAGGTGCGACGACCGAGACTAAAACGGTCTTACTTCTTCTTCTACCGGTACGGCCTCCTGATGCTACGGGCTGTAAGGTGAAAGTTCTCGTATAAGTCAGCAAGGAGTCCCTCGGCAGAACGCATCTCGCAGAAACTCCGGACCGAAGCACAAGCCGATTTTCAGTCGTTCTATCTCCCGACAAAGAGATACTCAAAAAAAGAATCGCATCATAAAGGATAGTCACAAGTCTAGGCCAAACGTTGCAACACGGTAACTTTCTATATGGATCGCAAAGTTTAGGCGTGACTGAAATAGTTATGTAAATAGTTTTCTCGAACTACAACTGCATATCTCCACGACTTCACGAGCGTTACTTGGATTCGGGGCCCGCGCTAAGCCTGCCACCTCCGTCCCTGACCGAAGCCTGTGTCTTTTCTTCCGCGTGTCCGAAAGAATTTCCACGCCTTAATTCCAAGGCTCAAGGAGGAAACGCTATCAAAAAGATCATGGTTATCTCTGGAAAGATAAATAGTCTCAGTTAGACATGATCAGTCACTTTATCCCATTTTACAGGGACCAGAGAGGGCCGAGCGCTGGAATTGCACAACTCAAAAGCAAGGAATGCGATGCCTGAGGGGCAGGAGAAGAAAAGGATCCAAGATGGAGTACTTTTCCCAGTTCAACAGATGTAAGCAGCTTCAGGTGACTCCCGATCTTATCCAGAATACCACATGAGACACAAACCCCCGGGATAACCACCAGGCCCCGCTTCAGAGAACAGTTTTTAGAGCCAGCAACTCACTGCGGCAACGCCGCTTTCCGAGCGGACGTGACAAGGAGCAACTACAGCATAAACTGAAGCGTGGCCCTCTGGGGGCCTCCGCGCCCTATCAGCCCCCGGCTAATCTTCACCTTACAGGTGGTCTAAATTCTGGAACTTGGAAATTCAGGTCATTTTGCGAGAATCCGAGGAATTCGGCGCACGACAGAAGAGCGCGGCGTACCGGATGCAGACACTTGACCACCACGCCTGCAGCACTCCGACAAGAGGGGCACGGAATGAAAGGGTGCGTTTCTACAGGGGGAGACCCTTCGCAGATGTTCTCGCCTCTGTTCGGTCCCTTGCCAAGTCCTCTCTCCAAAGAGGGATGGCCTCTGCCCGCACGTGCTCCGGTCCCAGAGGAGGGCCCTCAACTTTCCCTTTGGGCGTTGAAAAGGGAAGCAGTTGCTGTGGCTCACCCTATGCCAGCCACCGTACGGAGCCAACCGCAGCGGGGCCGCCAAGCGTCACTTGCAGCAGTGGGTCCCCTCAATACAAAGCGCATCGTATCGGAAGGAACTTACTTTCGGTCGCAAAAGAGCGAGCTCGCATCGACGGTTCAATGCTAGCCGGATCTGCAGGGTTTCAGCTTCCGTACGGTAAATCAGCTGAGCGTATGCCGATGCTCAGAAGTTTTCCCGCAGCAAAAAGGACCGCATTTTCAGGTTGTGGATCTCAGGTTCAACGCTGCACCCAGCTATTTGCACGACCCAGGGAAGGCGGGGAGGAGGAGGGAGGCAGAACAGAATGGAGGCAGGCAGAAGGAAGAACTTTAGCGGCTGAGATGTTAAAAGCCAGGTCGCAGATTCTCGCTTCTTATCCAGTGTAACTATCAAGGGCATAATCTTACAGTATATAATCTAGTCTCATTTAGTCCCAGACAAAAGATTTGGTTCCAACAGCCTGCAGCAGGTAGTCCTGCAGCCACCTTACATGGCACCACCCTCTCTTTCTTCTCCTACCTCATCCTGTAAGATCAAGAACACGGCCCGGTTAGTACTGATTAGGCCACTACTCGCAATGAGTCCCACCTTCTGTCAGAGGCATCAGGCTGGCGTTCTGGAGTCCTCCTGCCCTCAGTATACTTAGGGGACCGTTTTCTAACTCTCTTACAGTACAATGAAGGTTTCCAAACCCGTTCCAAGTAACCAGTACATGAAACGGGACATGAACACAATGATAGGATAGGACCGGTTGTTTCCCCCCACCCCCATGAAAATTTCTTCCTTACCCGTTTTAGAACGGGCACCTTACCATTTTCTCAGTCCTCAACAGCTACGTGCAAGGAATTGACGACACTGGAGGAAATTAAAAGGCAAAGAATCACCAGAGAAGGAACGGCCGAATTCACAAAAGCAGGCACAGCTTACGGTTTGACAGTTACCTCGATCTTTATCCCTGCGTCCGCTGATCAGCCACACCTTTGCGGAAAGGCCCATTTTTCTACAAACGTCTTGGGAACAGAGCGCTCGAGCTCTTGAAAACCCATCAGAGGGCAAGCTCATCCTAAAACCAAAGAACAACTTTAAATACTCTGTCCTTTGACACTGTCTGAGCATGGACGGGGATACAAACATCCGTTCCCTTTTGCTAATGCTAGCCAGCTACATCCCAGTTAGGCAGGAAAGAGAGACCGGGTGCCATGGCTTTTCTGTCAAAAAGGGCAATTTCACTTTTCGCAAGTAGGGACGAAGGAGAAGCTACAACAAGTCGATCTAACCTTTGGTGAATCAATCTAACGAGGCAAAGGAGGAGGCAAGGAGTCATGCCGCGCACAGAACGGAGAGAACCGCAGGCGGGAAAGCAAAGGACCGAATGCAGTGGAACAAAGAAAAAAATTTCTTTCTTCAAAAGGAAAACAATAAAAACTGGCTGGAGAGCATCAGTGAGACGGTCCAAATCTGTCCAAAACAGCGGCAATGAGCGACGTGCGGCTTTGTGAGCGGGTCGGCCGACATACCTCAAAATAGGACGAGCAGTTAAGAAAGGTAACACTCGGAACAAGTCGATCCCCTGATCCACCTGTAACAGGCTGAAGAGACAATTTAGCAGGTAACAACATCAGCCGAGC